AATACTGAGAGGTCATTAATGAACACAATGCTACCAGGTTTGCTAGATAAAATAATTGTGAAACTTTTTGGAAGTGCAGCATTAAAACCTGTTCTGTGGTCAACCCTCACATGTAGCCACTTCATATCTGCTTCAATACACCTGTCTCAGTCTCTAGTACCGGTTGTTGTTGTTGTTGTTGTTGTAGTAGAACATTGATATATTTAAATACACACAGTATATCACACCCTCACATTTTTGTAAAAATATTTGATTATATCTTTTCATGTGACAACACTGAAGAAATAAGACTTTGCTACATTATAAAGTAGTGAGTGTACAGCTTGTATAACAGTATAAATTTGCTGTCCCCTCAAAATAACACATCACACAGCCATTAATATGTAAACCGCTCACAACAAAAGTGAGTACACTGCTAAGTGAATGTCCAAATTGGGCCCAAAGGTTTGTGGCCGCCATTATTGTCCAACGCTGCCTTAACCCTCTTGGGCATGGAGTTCACCAGAGCTTCACTCCAGCTACACTGGGGTCCTCTTCCACTCATCCATGACAACATCATGTAGCTGGTGGATGTTAGAGACCTTGTGCTCCTCCACCTTCTGTATGAGGATGCCCCACAGATGCTCAATAGGGTTTGGTCTGGAGACATGTTTGGCCAGTCCATCGCCTTTACCCTCAGCTTCTTTAGCAAAACAGTTGTTGTCTTGGAGGTGTTTTTGGGGTCGTTATCATGTTGGAATACTGTCCAGTTTCTGGAGGGGATCATGCTCTGCTTCAGTATGTCACAGTTCATGTTGGGATGTATGGTTCCATCAATTAACTGTAGCTCCCCAGTGCTGACAGCACTCATGCAGCCCCAGACCAGGACACTACCACCACCATGCTAGACTGTAGGCAAGACACGCTTGTCTTTGTACTCCTTTGTTGCCGCCACACACACTTGACACAATCTGAACCAACCAAGTTTATCTTGGTCTCATCAGACCAGACTTATCAAACCGGACATGGTTCCAGTAATCCATTTCCTTAGTCTGCTTGTCTTCAGCAAACTGTTTGCCGGCTTTCTTGTGCATCGTCTTTAGAACAGAAATCGTTCTGTGACGACAGCCATGCAGACCAATTTGATGCAGTGTGCGGTCTTCAACCTCTGCAGAAATGCTGGCAGCACTCATACGCATTGGCATCAAAATGTAATCAAAAGATGTAGATATAGCCAAATGTTGCCAGTCAGTTTCTAGTCATTGTATTGCTGCACAAACAGTTGAGACAATAACAACCCAGACCACGACACCGACACCTGTCGCTCTCTTTGCTGTCTCTGTCCCCCTCGTTCTGAGACACTTTGCTCCATTTGACCGTCTTAACATAAACCTTTTAAGTTTGTTAACAGTACTACTTAATTTAAGCTGCATAAACTCCATAAGTTTATATAACTTAAGCCACGTTTTGTGATAACTTAAATTTTTCATTTTGTGTGTGCACTGCTTGATACAAATTACATACTATTTAAATCAATCACAAACCAGTTTTAATAGGCCTCAATAATTTGTCAGGTTCACTTAATTTCCTTCAACTGAGAGAACCGTTACAACAACACTTGATAATTTATCTATAACACATTGTGTAAACTAGAATAATTTCCAAAGAAACAATGCATTGAGACCACTGAGTTGATTCAGCTGCATTACAACATTTATTTTCAAGTGTCAAAAAACTAATTCAACCAACATTGAATATTGGACAGATCTGGGCTGAACAATAAGCAAGTATGATATTCCTATTTTAGCTGGTGATTCCTATATTGTAAATATTTTCTAATAAAAAAATCTGTTTGCTTGTGTAGTAGTTTTAGTATCTCTTCTGTAAAAAGTAGTATCTCTTCTGTAAAAACCTTACAAGAACCAATAAAATAATGACTGTTCTCCATCCTTTCCCGTATTTAATATGTATTTCGAAACTAATTTTAAATTGTCCATGCTGGGATTGTTGTAATGCAAGTTATACTATTGCAATAGCAATATGAATTTGATCTATTGTTCAGCTTCAATTGTACAGGCTGTCTCTAAATATCAATTTTTGAACTTGAGTTTTGCGTATCTTGTATTATTTGACAAGACAAAAGAAAATCAAATTTTTTATGTGCACTGTAAGAACACTCCATGGTACAGATTTGAACGTGAAGATTGATTTCAAAAAAGTATCACACTTTTCTATCATA